CTATATATATATATATATATATATATATATATATATTAGAGTTTTGTTAAACGACACCACTTATGGTATAGACAAGTAGAGTGCTCACACATTTTTAGACATTTAGTACCCTTATCTTATAGTATAATAACTTTTGTTTAAGAGTATTTTAAATAATTAGTCAAAGATAAACTAAAAATTACTAATAAAAACAAAAGCATTTAATAACAATAGTGGACAATGACATCATCGATATGGTGTGTGACTTCACTAACCAGATGTATTAATTTTTTTTAAGTATTAATAGAATAATATTATTTTTTTATAAAAATATCCATTCTACCCTTCTAAATGACCAAAAATACCCCTACTTGAAATACTTTGTACTACCATTCAAAGGTATTTTAATGTCAAAAAATATTGAACACTTTAAAAGTCTACTCCACCAAATAGTGGAGCCTAACAATATATATATATATATATATATATATATTATTCTTCATTTTTCTATATCTTGAACCAAACTAAAATCGACCCTGCAGGTCTCTAATCAGGTCCAAGTCCAACTGACTTGGACCCAACCCAGGTCCTAGTCGGATCTAAGTTGGACTTAATTGAGTCGAGTCTGCTTCTACCTAACCCATGTGCAACCTTAGTAGTCAAAAGCTGTTCCAAAGGAATCCATTTCGACTATTGGAGGACGACCGTCAGCAAAATACTCATGGCCTGCTGGGACTTGCACTCGGAGACTCAGAAAGATCGAATGCTGCCCAAAAACCTGACAGACCCCAGGAGCACTGCGTTACATTTTGGAAGACCCTTGAATCATGCTCAAGAAGACGAAAGCCGCAGTCCAATTTTCTTGGCAAGACATCGGCGAGACTGACACTCTAGCCAAGCAAGGAGTAGATAGAGCATAACTTCACACTTACTCTCTGACCCTATTCGGCAGTCTCTCTCATAGACTTGCTTGGTAATAGATTTTAACCTTACATAATCAATTTTGATTACACAATAATGATATTACAGTTAACATTCAGAAAATAAAAAACATAAAGCACATCTTAGAGACTGATATTATTGCTGCCTAAATTAACCGCAATAAGGATTTAAGTTTTTCTCTTGGTAGTAAATAAAGATTAAACTTATAAGAATCAGCAAAACACTAGGAGAATACATTCCTTTATGCAAGTATAGCAGAAGAAATCAACTTTCTACCATTGAACAAATCAAATCTGATGGCATTTTGGATAATTTTATCCTCATTTGTAATCAAAGTTGCCTGCCCCCACAGTTATGGTCTTTCCATCTGCATAAATCTGGCTCGCTTGACCAGTTATTTCGCCCTCCAACCACCGATCGTCACAAATCCTTTCAAGCAGATTGCCTTTGAAAACACGTATCATAAAGCCATACCCCCATTCCCAATGTGAAGGTTGATGGGAGCGTGATTTTATCACAAGAAACATTTCTGAACTTGACCTGGTAACTCAAACACCCAATACCTACCCATAAATTTGATGGAACCAAAACAAATCCCAAATTTCTCCAAAAGAATCTGTATGCAAGAAATGGAGAATGAAGAGCAAAGAATTTACACTTGGAACTGCCCAATCAACTGGAAACCTTCATCAATACAATGGGGATGGATAACTAACAAGCCAAGAATTTACAAAAACCACTGAAATAACACCCACCAATCCCAAAAAATATATGAACCCTCACAGAAGGCAGAGGGCAACTTATGAACATCGATGCTTTGAGAGCTCCAAGATGTTAGCTCTCTCATCCATTTGTCATGAATCATCAACCTCAGTTGTTGTTTGAACCAGGTTGGCCCACCGGGTTGTTTCCAGATGTCTGTCATTTGGCTGGCTGGTTTATCTGTTGCGCCCTTGTCTAGTAACAGATGTGCTTGTCATGGGCTTCTGCAACGGTTTCAAGGCTGCCATGATTTCAGAAAATGAAGGCCGCAATTTTGGATCTCTGCCAAAGACATGCATTTCAAGGGTCAGTTGAGCATATGGACATTGAACATCCTCATTCATAGATGGAACACACTTGCTGGAATATGAGGAGTTTCACAATGTAGAACTCTTTATACTAATCCCAAGATTCATTGAATTAGCTCTAATCAACAATAATTTCTTTTGGTAAATCTGTTTAGCAGAATGGATTGCTAACTTTCTAATAGATAGGAACATATTTACATTATATTATGGGTGTGGTTTCCATAAGGTTGCAACCTTAAACAATCCAACTAAAGTGCACCTTCAAATTTTATCATAATATATAATTTTGATGTAAAATGTTCTTAGTATTATTTCAAAATCTATTTTTAGATCTAATTATAACATTTTAAATTCCAAAAATGATTAAAATCAAGTAGATCTATAAACATATGAAAATCTTGAAAATTGGCGGTGTAGATAATACGTTGTAAGATGCACTATTTCTGAGGCTCAAAATCTTTTTATTTTTCATAGTCATACATCTCGATGTCAAGATGATCAATCACAGGGTTTTTCAACATTAAAACAACCATTTTGATGGATTTTTGAGGTGAATCCCTAGTTCTACATTTTAAGGTTGCAACCTTACATAAACTTTTTCCTTATATTATTGTCTTTCTTTTTCATACATTATAATATTGTCTTTCTTTTTCATACTTACTTAAGAATAAAGGTCAAGAGGTCAACAAATCCTTTTGAGAACCAAAGCAAACAACTAAGCAAAACCGTCACACCTTTGAGCACAAGAAGTCAACAATTATGGGAGATTATATATGTCTAGGTATGCTCATAAATTCAAGAACTAAAGTTGTATAAATAGAATGCAAATATGCAGAATTGCATATTGTGCTCAAAAGGTCACTTAGAAACCAACAGCAATTTATTTAAAAGAAAAACTACTACCATAGACAGGTGAAACGAACTTAATCCTTCCACTTTCGATTCAAACCGTAGTTGTCAGGTGCGGGTGCATTCCCAGGAGTGGGAGCTGCCTCGGATCTGCAAAACCATGGATTGCTGGAAGCTCTTTATGATTAGGATTGTTGTCCGTACGATCCTATATGAAGGGAGCAATCCTTGTCACAGGGAAGCGCGATTCCATGAGGAAGGAATCGCAATAGTAAGTTTTAAGGGATAGAGAATGGTGTGGGTTCACAGTACCATTGGATACAAACCTTAACCAATGTATATGAATCAATGCCAAGTAGAGAAAACATCATATGCACTACATCATACACTTGAGAACCGTGGTTCCAACCTGCTGGGACGGAGGATCACAATATAGGGATCCACATTCCATCCAAGATCCCTACCTGGAATTGTGGGATCGAGGTCCTGAAGTGGGCCCGTGACCTTTCCTACACGGTTCCAGCAACTATGATTCGAAGAAATCTCAACCAAAAACCACTCATTATATAAATTCATAGTGGAGGAATTCAAATCCAGTTCCCAATCGTTTCCTCCTATCTTTCCATGCATATAAGGGTAAAAGGTTCCACGAGGCCCTGCAAACACTTTTGGAATTGGAGATCCAAGCCCAAACATACTAGCATAAAGGAAAATTATGTCAACGTTTATTATATTGTGCACAAAAACATGGGAATCATATTATATTAGCAAACTAATAGAGAAATCTCACTTGTAGTTGAAACATGCAGAGTCGTATGATTAGGAAAAACGTGAGGTAACATGATAAACACAGTGATCTTTACATGGGGCGCAAATCTAGATCTCAGCCTACCAGACTCAAAATCCTCAATCACGTAGGTAGGAGAATGGAAGTGTGGATTGTCAGAGTAGCAACATGTAATCTTTTTAACTCTGAACCATCACAAGCACGAGGGCACAAGATATGTCACAACCTTATCAACAATAGATGCTACAAAAAAAGAAAAACATTGCGTTACACCCCAAATCAGAACCTGACAACTAATCTGCAAGAAGGAATGGAATGGTAAATTTCCAATGTATCTGCTCCAGAGCTCATTTGAGAAAGAAACATTGGTCATAGTAGTGATTGGGTTTGGGAAAGGTGCGTTCCCACTAAAGTTCTCAATTTTCTAATGGACATTCGTTAAGGACCTTGTTTTCCGAGATGAGAACATTAGTGTTGGGGATGAAATGGCTGCAAGATGTTATGGTTCCTTCATGAGAAGGGTGAAGAGAAACATTTGTGTTTCGAGAGCCTCTCTAAAATCAAATTTGGATGGTAGCCAGAATGACAAAAAGGTTAAATGACTTCTAGATAGTACAGGAAACTATTCGAAAACAGAATTCAAAATTGAAGTCATAACTAGAAAGACACATTTGTAGGGTCACTATATTATCAGGGTTTCATCCATGTTATACGACCAAACCATAGCTTAGCATCAAATGTATTCAAATATATCATTTTCAATTTGAAACCATGGAGAAAACCAATATCATGTCCTGCGCACAAGTAAATAGGAAAATACGAACAGATAAACAGATTCAGTAAAGGCATCATGCAACTCTTGCTTGTTTTATCCCAGGCTCCGTTATCTGCCTTCTTCCATGCTGACAAATAAAAGGCAGTATTGAAGTTCTATGTATCAAGAAATAGAAAGATGAAATAATGAATATACGTTTTAACGACTATATGACTTATTGATGCTACAATTACAAAAACAATCCCAATTTCACATAGAGCACGGACCTTGCATTATATATACATTATCTTAAATACAAAGGAGAAATTACAATATGACACATTGGTGCCCATGGAAAGGAAAAGTATACAAAAGAGACTATTTACTCTTAGCAAGGAGGTCACAATTATTCTTGTCCTTTAGATTTCAAATTGGATGGTTGTGAGCATGTCATTGACTAGACTCAAAACTTCCAAAAAAAATAATTTCCCCAACTTCAAGACACACCCCAAGCCATCCAATTTGACATCTAATAGCTAAGAATAATTGTGACCTCCTTGTAAGAAAGATAAATGGTCTCATAGCATACAATCCCCTTGCAAAAACTACAATTCTATATGGCTAGACTTACAATGATATTCAGGCATTTACAAATATGTTGATGATGTTCAGAAAGCTAAGTTACAAAGAGCGCATGGAAAGAGTTCATGACTTAAAATTATCGAATACAGCCTTGCAAACATAGTGTGGATATTATTTTGCGAGGGTAAATCATAATGCTCACGTTTGCCAACATTTCCTTATTATATCACCAAGCACGGGATCCATGTCATCTGGAATGTCAAGGCGACGATGCTGAAACCCAACAGCACCAACAACCTGCATAGGGTTCATTCCACCCCAAGGCTGTTGCATCGTGGCAAGCTCCCATAGTATTACACCGAAGCTATAGACATCACACCTGCAAGTAGCAAACCAAGCCATAATGAAATCAAAATTAAATACTTTTTAAAAACAATGACATCTCAATCATGGCAGGACAAGTGATGGCTCACTTCTCATCCGAAGGTTCATTTCGTAGAACTTCAGGGGCCATCCATTCAGCCTTAAAAGCAAGAAAATAGGAAATTAGTGAGTGACAATAATCATATTAAAAAAGTGGAACCCAACAATCCAAATTGGTTATCAATTCCCTAGAGAACAGCAAAACAAGGACCCAACAAAATTAATTTGTCACACATGCAATTCAACACGGACTAGACATAAGTTTGTCGTCATGAAACTTGATGTGCAATTATGAGACAAAAAGATGATATGGTCTATGTATGAAATGAAAGATGAGAATATAGAAAAGATGAGTCCAGAAGATTACAAGTTCAATCCATGTGTCCACATTTTTCATCCATGTACGGATAAAAGTGAACAGAGAACTATCATGAGTGCCGTTATGTGAGGTATAACAATGGATCACAGAGCTGTAGAGAAAATATGGTTGAAAATAGAAAAGAGAATGGAATAAGATATTATGTAGAGCAATCAAGAACATAAGAAAGACCAGAACAACTTAGATCTGATGGATACCTGGAGAAGCTGCTAATTGGAGGTTTTCAACTGCTTCCAGAAAGAGAAGTCTATCAATTTTAACTGATAGCACCAAATCATGATCATTCTTAACAAGGAGACCTTTAGTCCAAAGGCCTAGGGTAAAACCCCCATGAAAGACAATGGTCTATACAATATCTCTACATTGACGCAGGTGTAACCCAATCAATATAAGCCGATACATGGAAACATAGCATAGGTTGCAATAAAATTACACTTATTTGAAGAATGATTTACCATAAGAAGAATCTCGTTGATTAAATGTTCGACAGCACACTGGTTTCCGCTTCCCTCTTACCTAAGGCACATCAGCTAATTAAAGGGACAACCCTCCGCTGCAGATGATCCTCAGCAAAAGACATGGACACAAGCTTTGTGAGCAAGAATTGATGTGGGGCACTCCGATTTACACAGTATTGGGCTCTTGAAAGAGCAAACTGAGAAAACCCCTGAAGGAGCCAAACCATCTATCAACCCATGAACAAGGGAGGAATGTGGAACTAAACTGGTTCAACAGGGACAGTGTCATTGGTTTCCTCCATGACGTATCCTCTAAAATTTGGAGCCCACAGTCTCCGCCCAGCTATGATCTCAAAAGATTGTGCCACCGAGGCCTCAGGCGCACTCACCACTGCAAAAAGTCCGGCAGAGGCTAACTGCATGGTGCTATTACAGACCCATAAGTCCTTTCAAAGGCGAATCCTATGACCATGCTTGGCCCTGAATTGAATGGGATAAAATTGGCAAAAAGACAAGATATTCCCATCCAGGCTCCGGAAGCCCGACCATAAGCTCTCCCATTAGGAAGCCAGCCTAATATCCAGACCATATTTATGGAGAATCACTGTTTGCTAAAGGCATCCCTCTTGACAACCACAGTGCCATAACCATTTCCCTAAGACACCTAAATTACACATTGTTGGGGTTCTTATACCCAATCCACCTTCAGCATTAGGCCCGCAACCCACCTCCCATTTTACCAAGTGGAACTTGTGAGATCCACCACTCCCCAACGAAAGGAAGTTCCTCATACCGGCTATTACAAATTGTCGCTTTAATGAGGGTTGTTATACCTCTAAGTGATAAAAACCTACATCTCAAGGCAGCAAGACCCCGCTCAAATCGTTCCACCACTTGTCCCACAAAGCCTTTGGAGGCTTCCCAATGCATAGGGGGAGTATTTGCTGGGGAGGCTATAGACACCACACCTATCCTTCTAGCTGACTGTTAGACCAACGCAGGGCCAGCACAATTTTCATTTTGGCCATGTTTATGTTAAGTCCTGTTTATACCTCAAATACTCTCAAGAATAACCAAGAGTTTGAGAGACAAAATCCCAATGTTGAAAACGTCACCACTGATACTGAGTCAAAAGGAAGTCTTTGTGGAGTAGAATCAAGAAAGATTATCTTTGTCTTGCCTCGGCTTTCCATGTCTACGAGAGCTTATCTCTACCTTTCATTCTTTTTTCAGAAATCCCCTTCCCTTATTGTTTTTCTCTCTTTATTGAGCCTTATTTTACTAATTTATTTTATTTTATTTTCTTTCTTCCATTACTATTTGTCTTCCACACTACTTAACACCCAAAAGCGAGGACAGTTCTGATTTTCTTGGCTGACTCCTTTTTCTTTCTCCACATCTATCAGCTGAGTTTTAAAACCTCAAAACAAGTAAAAAGAAACACATCCACTTCCAGTTAAATCAAAGCAAGGGGGACATTCCTCTGGTCAAGCCAAAAATAAATAATCAATAAAAAATGAGAGAGGAAACAAAAGGGAAAGGAAAAAGAGAAACAGGAAAGAGGGGTTTGTTTGTCTAAGTAGTGAGCCAATTTCATGTCAAAGGATGGAAAGAGGCATCAAGCTCCTTATTGTCAACATTGAACTTGGCTTGTCTCTTTCTTTTCTTTTGGTTTCTCCAAAAACTATTCTCTTATCCATTCTTCCTACAAATAAATAATCAATGCATAGCTTCTTTCTTGTATTGTTTTGGAAATCGTAAAATTGGTGATAATGAGGTTATCTGTAGAAATGGTAGAATCGACCAACATGATAAATTCGCTTACTTGTGTAGACAACCCAAGTAATATCATTGTAATGCCGCAAACAAATGGCTCAAATATCCAACATTGGTCACAAGCTCTGTAGTTATTTCCTGAAGGTAAGTGGTTGTACGGATATGTTGACGTCATTTCCTTTCAATGTTTCACTAAGAGAATGTTACTGTAATGTAGCAAAGAAGTGGTACAAATCATCTCTAATGGTAAAAGCTGTTAAAATGCTTCACTAAGAAAAGTGGTCATGGGGATACTTGGATGCCCAGAAAGCATCATATCTTTTTTGCCTTCCCACTAATCTAAAAAACACTTCATTGGAAAATTAAAAACCAGGAAATCATCTCAATGTTACTGATCCACTATAACAGTTGCTCATCTGTCTATGGGTACAGCCGCAGCCCCCAGAGATCCACAATCATTGAGAACCCTTCTAATATCTAGGGAATGCAGTAAGGTGTTCCCATTTGAACAGAACTGCATAACAAGCAAAAAATCCCTTCATATTATAGAAAGATTTGTCATACCATCAACCAATACTAATCTAAATACTCCCATACAGACACTCCCAAACATCATTTAGGAATTGAAAAAGTTCAACACATTAGTAATGAATATATTATAATTGTTTCATAATAGATCTACATAACATAAAGAAACTTCATTTTTCTTCGGAACAAACTCCAGGAGTGTTTCTCAGTATGTGTTCTACATGAAAGACAAATGAGGCAATGTTAGGATTTTGTGGCCATTTAAATACCTTATGAGAGCATGTACTGAAAATATATAATGAATTATTGACTCCAGCGGGAGTATGGTCCAGCTTGGAGTGTAGGGCATTGATAATGTCTTAGACTCACATGAGTTTTGACTGGCTGACTCAATGTGAATTCCAAAACCTGTAATCCTGAGCATCGTGCAAGCATAACTGATAAGGGTTTCGATGTAGAGTTATCCCTCGATGAAGTCGGAGATATGCCCAGGGGACATGGATTTGACCCTTATGTGTGATGGATGGCCTAAGAGGACAAGGGCCTAAATCCTCATCATCACCATCACACGACATGTACACTAGATAGCCGTCCAGGAAGAAAACCGTTGGATACAGGTCTGTGACGTATATGTGCAAAAGAGATGACTCCCTGCAACACTAGACTATGTTGGAAGGACCCATGGAGCATACTGCTGAAATGGGCCCCGAACTTGTCCTCAAGGAGGGACCAGTAATCTATGGTCTATAATCGTATCTTCTCCACTTATTGGATGACTTTGATGGTCCAATCATGAACCCCTACGATGGGTTGTGGGTCATGGGATTGGTTGGGTCAATTTGGGAAGGTGCAGTGAGATGCAGTCTCTAGAGATGATGGTCCTCAGTGTTTTTGTCGCAATCCTAACTCTATAGATGCAATTCCCATCAAACTTTCTTAGATATGTTTTAATATGTTTTAATTATTTTCTCAGATAATTAAAATGAATTTTTAGACCTCTCTAGGTATTTTATTTTAATGAAATATGATTTTTAAATAGAGAAAAATCAATTTCCTGGATTTATTTTAACCAGAAAGAAAAATAAAATATTTAGAGGTTTTATAAAAATTATTTTATTATCTAAAAATTATTGGGGGGCCCATTGGGCCGACCATATCGTGGGGGTGTGAGGCCCACATGGCCACCCACCTCCTTCATACTTTCCTAAATTGAAAGATGGCAATTATGCCATATGTTGACTAGATATTTTAGGAAACTTTTTCATGTAGATTTTGATTGATTTGAAAATAGGAAGGTGTAAGAAATTAATTGTGATTGATTTCAAAATAGGATGGTGTAAGAAATTGATTGTGATTGATTTAAAAATAGGAATGTGTAAGAAATTAATTTTGATTGATTGATTACTTTCTCTGAACAAAATATTTGATGGGAATAGAGTTATGGAAACTGAGGGATAAGGTTCAACATCATCCCTTTAATCATGATGGCTGATTTAGGGAATGAATGGTCGAAATCTCTTCACCTCATAGGTCTCCAAGATCAAAGGCCGAGATTAAACTTCATGATGATGGCAATAACCCTAGAAATACTAGCTATGCGGGTTCTATTTCTTATCTCTCTATCTCTATCTCTATCTTTCTCTCCAAGCAACCAAAGGGGGCGTACCCCACTCAAGCCTTCTCTCTCTTCTTCTCTCATCCAAATTAGGGTTTAGGAAAGAGTTAACCTTAAGAAGTGGCACGCCCAAGCCACACAAGCCCTAGCCCTAGGTCCATGCCTTATGCTCATGTGTTGAGCCCTGGTCAAGGAAATCCCATGTGATGCTCTCTAAGAGTTTTGCCTAGGCTTCCCTAATCGTGTTATGTGTTCTTGAACCAAGATCCCGTACGCCATTGGTGGACGAGACCCGGTTTGGGGTGTACAAAGTCCTAAGGGGTAACCTGCGGCAAGGTACGCATTGTTTCATATTCCATACTTCTGTTGCGTCCATTCTTTCTTATGTAATTTTCCGTTCTACATGATGAATGTGTTTTTTCTTTTAATGGCATGTAAGTGAGAGGTCTTGGCTTTTTCATTAAGTCAAATTATATTTTGGACACTTGTAAGTGATTTGGGTGGCAATACATATAAAAGAGTAAAACATTTAATAGATATTGACTTGCCCGGTCACTTAGTCCACCTTTCAGGCAGTTGCTACATTTTCCATAACTGATGTTTTAGATTAGTATTTGTTCTTTCCATTAAAAAGAGGCCTCAACCAAAAGAACTAGAAACCAGAAGAGGAATGCATGGTCATTCAGTAAAAGAATTTGAGAGGTAAGATCTAATAAACTATAAATATATCTTCAGTAGGTATATCAAGATAGTCCCTCTTTTAATGTGTATGTTGCCATTAGTCGATAGGATGGCTCAAACTAGAGCCCAAAGTGCACTAGGTTAGAAGTCCCAATTTGCAATCTGCTTTGGGAACTTTTATCAAATATGGGGCTCAAGACATCAAAAACAATTTTACAACCTGAAATGAATTCTGTGTTTGTTGTCATCAATCTATTCTGTAACAGGGATAAAAGTTCCAAGATGCAGAATGCTTTGGGAGCTTTTGTAAAAAGATGAGGCTCAAGAACCAAAAATTTCTTTGCAACATAATAGGAATTCATCAAAGGATTATAACTGGTCAAAAGATGAGATGGATGTAGCAAAGGCACAGGAAGAAACTTTGTCTTCGTTTGAATGTCCCTACAAGTTAGAGTTCTGTTACCCAGCTGACGCATTAAACCGGATACCATAAGCATCATCCCAAGCCATTTGGTGGGGAAATGAGAAATAAGAGGTCAATCGCCACATATTTCAAAATAATCACCAGTAACACTTCTAAAAATGTTGGAGCTGATAAAGGATGAAGTGAAAGCCCCAACCACAGATGACCACTGTTACTCATGCATAGCTCTCAGGATATGCGACCATAAAGAAACTAACCCCTTGCAATTCACAAAAAAGACATACAGATCAATAAATTCCTTCGCACATTAAAACATGTATCAACAAAAATAAGTTGATGAGGCCATCAAGTGCCAGGCCATGCAAAATCCTGTATCCATTGAAAAAGAAAACAACGGCTCATCCCTAAGGGCCAAAAGTTTGAAGCTTTAGAAATTATGCTAAGAGGTCCAACGAGATGTGAACGTTTTCTGGCTGTCATTTGAGGTGGCATAAATCTAGCATGAAGAAGGAGATGCCACTACTATGCATCCTTCAAACAAGAGGTTTCTTCCTTATATGTCTTTTACAGATCACAGTGCAAAGAACAGTGAAGAGCATCCTAAATCCAGCAAGTTTCACTGACTTGAGATAAAGTAATAAATGCATAAGTTCAGAAGTTCATTTACAAAGTAACAAATTTAAACAAAACTAATGTGAGGGGAGTGATTATAAATTCCAGTACCGAAGACTCGCATTCTTAGAACTCGTAGCATAGTTCAAAATGTCTGTTACATTTAAAACAAACACTTAAATACTGTATTGGTAAGGATTTGTGTCACTTAAACTGTGGAAGAATTGATGTACCAAGGATTCCATTAAATCAATATCAACTAACACACAAGCTTTCAAATGTTAGAAGCATCAATGGAGAGAGGGACATACCGTCCCAGCAGTTGACCTTGAGGACAGAAACGTATTATGTTTCATTCTAGATAACCCGAAATCACAAACCTGAGTAACAACATGATAATGAAACTCAAACTAAATGATTGCATAAAAGAATCAAATAAAAAATGCATGCTTTTTCAGAGTCATGTAAACATTTCAAAAGACAAAAAAATAGAGAAAAGTGAATACCACCTTTACAACCCAATTCTTATCAACCAGAAGATTTGGTGACTTTAAATCACGATGTACTATCAACGGAGTACTGTTATGTAAGTAATTCATTCCTCGGGCCTAGGATACAAAGCAAACATAGGGAAAGACAAGTAATTAAGAACAGTGGAAATGCCAATTTGATGAAGCTATATCTATCATAAGAACATCTTGAAGAACAAAAGGGAGGAATCATACAACATCGAGTGCCATTCTCAAACGCCTTCTTTCATCTAATTGATTGTTCGGCCGATGAATTAACCTATACAAACTACCCCTACAAAATGTACAAGTCTATTAGACTTCCAACTCAGATCTTAGCAATCAAACATTAAGCATGCACGAATGTCCATAACTGAAAGGGATACTATCTTGTTCAAAGTTTAGCTATAGATTTGAGATTTCAACAACATAAGTAATCCTCAAAAGATAATGTATACTACAATAACTTGATACCAGAACCGTTCAAACCACTAGAATGAAAGGAATACTCCTTGTAAAACTCAGGATTCCAATAGCATAGAAAATTTTGAACTTCTTTGATGCAGCATTATACATCAAATGGATCATCAAGGTCAAGATTCTAAAATTTCGACTCTTGATCATCATTGCTGCTTCAGATACACAATAATGGCATGTTGAAGTAGAGCAATCATCAGAAATGTAAAACCTTGCAGGTCATTCAGTTATCTCGAGTACAAAAAAAGAGTCTTCCATTGTGGACCCATAGGAAGATAGTAAAAAATCAAAATACATGAAGTAATATGATTAGAAAAATGAGAACACAAAAAAATGGATACCGGTAACTTTTTGCGGATAAGTAGCAAAATTTATAAACAAGAAACAAGGTACCAACAAAAATTTGGAGATCCCTATTGATGGCATAAAACCCCATGTTCCCAATGTTAAATAAATGAATTTTTTAACTATTCAACTTCCGGGACATGGGTTTCAATGTGCCGGCATCTCAGATAAATTGTTTTTCTCAAAGTTAATACAAAATTTGGAGAACTGACCCAGTTTTCCCAAAGGCCAGTTTTCCCAAGTTAACTCATCTCTGCAAGTCGGTTCGGTTTAGGAAGTGATTGAGCGGACTACCGTATTTGAGTTTTTGAGCACTATTATGAGATCAATCAATCAAGATTTAAAATATCTACAAATCAAACCTCTGAGGTATTTTGAAGTTCTACTCAGTATGAAACTGAAACATGTGAGTTCACAAAGAGTAGCATATATTTTAATTTATAAAAAAGGGAGATTATTTTGCCATTCACTTTTTTTGGTCATCCACCCACTTAGTTTGATTCTACCACACAGAACATGCGTGGGAACATTGACATTCTCATTAATTTGATGAGCGATAGCATTGGGTGGATTGTTGAAGAAGTGAGACACTGAATGTGTAATTTGAAAGGTCTATGCATAGGTATGACAATGGCGTATAATTTAAAAAATTACTGTATCAATCTTACATGAATCCATGTATATAGTATGCTCAAAGCAAGTTACGGCCATAAACCAATGCAAAGACACTTAAAACTACTACAAATGTGGATGATACAACACATCTAATGCGCCCCCTCTCACTTTTCCATTCAAAGACAATTGAGATGGCTATGAACAAGACAATTCGCACTTGCATAAAATTCAGCACAAGCATATCAAAGACAAGTGCACAAAACTTAATTAAACATCAACACAAACACTTGGATAACAATATCAACTTTACATTCACATTAAAACATGTCACTTTTTTTTTCTTCTTTTTTCTTTCTTTCTTTTTTTCTGACACTGTTAATTGTAGTATCGAAGTAGTAAAATATTACAGGAGTATAGGCAGCCCGTATATTGGGTGCTCTGTACAACAGCCCTCAAGGGGCGCAAAAAATGCTCTACATCAAGAGGATGAAGAAAAGCGATAGATACAAAAAATGGGGAACTAAGAGCTTGGCTAGATATAAAAAATTAGGGACTATGCGCTAAAAATGGTGTCATCCCCTGGCGAGGGCATCGGCTGTTGTGTTAGCCTCCGTCCAAATAAGTATCCACAAGGCACAGATAGGCCTACAAATGTGCGAGGTTTCGTCAAAAATATGTACCGGTCTCCAAGGGCATGGTGAGGTACTAGAAGCCCAGGCGATGATGTTTCTGGAGCCTCTCTTAACTACCAAATGGAGAACCCCAACTGGGATTGAAATTCCTGAGTCCTTCAAGGAAGGAGAACCAAAGCCTCCGTAGTAATGGAGTTAGTATGGCCAAGGAAATGGGAGAAGGAGAAGAGGGTACCACCGTCGTTGACTCTGAAGATACTTCCAATGCCTGAAGGGCTCGGTTGCTGAGAGAAGCCATCAAAGTTGACCTTGGATTGTCCAGGTTTGGGCTGTCTCCAGAGGGATGAGAATGGGATCTTGACAAGCCTCAAGTTCAAGAACTCTGCCAGTCTTGGTAGAAGTCGGTATAGGACAAGTGCTTGAAGGAGTTTTGAGGTTTTTGGCCTAGAAGGTCATTGAGGATCTGACCCTATTGATTAAGGCTCCGATAGTTGCCCTCTCCCTACGGAATATACTACAGTTTCTCTCGTTCCAGATGACCCACAGCATGACAACCATTGATGCCCGCCAGAGATGTCTGCCAGACTTAGGCCAAGGGGGGAAAGAAATACAACATAAAGGTGAGGGACCGAGTAAGGGGTTTGATTAAAAAGCTAGAGATCTTCCCAGAGGGATATGGTCAGGTCGCAATGAATGAAGAGGTTTGCATTCAGTTCTTCTTCTGCAGTGCACATGACACATCTGTTAGGCAATGACAAACCCTTTCTTTGAAGTTGGTCGACTATCAAGTCTCTCTCAGATAGGGCCATCCAGTTGACCACTTGCAACTTGGGTGCAACGTTTCAAAAGGTGGACCGCCCAATGCCTAAGCGGTCGAGACGTCCTGGACATCTCACCCAGGCCTAGGCGGCCAAAATAGGTGGTCTGTCCCAAGGCGGTAGGGCACCCGCCTAGTGGGCACCCAGTGCCTAGCCCAAGGCAGCCGCCCAGGGGCGGAAATGCCCCTTGTTGGGGGCCATTTTTGGATTTTTATGGAAAAAAAAAGGGTTTAAATGTGGGCTTTAGGTTTATTTGAAACCTAAACCCCATTAGATCCCATTTTAGCGAGAGAGAAACCTTAAAAAACTAGATTTTGTGATTTCATAAGATTGAAGGGCTTTTCAAAGTTACGAGAAAAGGATCCAAAATCACTCATTGATATTAGATTTAGTTTTGGAGTTTTGTTAGGCCTATTAGAGGGTGTTTTTGAAGATCTTAACACTAGAAAAAAATCTCAAAGGTAGAAGTTTGGAGATTAAGCAATCAAAGTAATTTTAAAATTTTATTTTTTATATTTCTCGTATTATTTTGAGATGTCTTCTTCAGAAACTGGTCGAAGAGATGATCCGGGTTGAAAATATGGCTATAACCTGAATCCTTTGGATAAAAATTACATAAGATGCAGTTATTGTAAAAAGGATAATAAAAGGAGTATAAACCGGTTTAAGAAACATCTTATCGGTATTAAGGGGAATGTTGCCCCATGTAAAAATATTCCTGAAGCTATCAGAGAGGAGATTAAACAATATATAAGTTTGATAAAACACAAACACGAATAAAATCCTTGTCATTTGGATAGGTCTATTTTTGGTTATGCTAGAAGAGGTGATTCGGGTTGGAAGCATGGTTATAATCTGAAACTCAACGATAAAAATGGTAAAAGGCGTAATTTTTGTGAAAAGGTATCAATGGGGGTATTAATCAATTCAAGAAACATCTAACCGGTATTAAGGGGAATGTTGCTTCTTGTAAAAAGGTTCCTGAAGCTCTTAGCGATGAGATTAGACAATATTTGAATTTAGCAGAACCAAAATAAGAAAAAAATGAGCCTTGTTCTATGGAAATATCTTCTCCAGATTATTCTAGAAGTGGTGATCCGGGTTGGAAGTATGGTCATTATCCGAATCCGAATGACAAAATCCTATTAGGTGTACTTATTGTGGAAAAGATATTAATGGGGGAATTTACCAGTTCAAGAAACACCTTGTCGTTATTATGGAGAATGTTGCCCTGTGTAAAACCGTTCATGAGGCTACCAGGGAGGAGATTATACAATATTTGAGTTCAGTGAAACACAAAATGCAAGAAAAGGGTGAAAGGGCACCAGGTAGAACAACTAAGACTCCTAGGGCCTCATCTGCACAAAGTAAGAGGTGGTAGAACAAAAGGAGGAAGAGGCAGATTCAGAAGAAACAGAGGAAGAGCGTTATGTTGAAAAGGGAGATGACTCTGAAGATGATGGCCTCGGATCTGATGCATATGATGAGGCTTACCCTACTCTTGATGATGATAATGATAATGACGATAATGATGACTGAAGAATGAAGATGCTTGACTCTTGGTGTAGAATCTTTGATTGTACATTTTCCTTTTCCTATATTGTAGTTTCTATTATCTAACTCTTGTATGGTTCTAGCATTGTATAAAAATATCGATTATGGACTATCTATGTTCTCCCCATTCACTTATCCACTTATTTTCTTATTTTTTTATCGCCCAAGTTCTGAGTGGCCGCCTAGGCCTTGGGCGAGCAGGGTCCCCCGGCCACTTAGGCACCGCCCGGCGATTTTTGGAACACTGCTTGAGTGGGATGAAGGAAATCCATGTTTTAGCCACTATAAATCTAGGGGCTTAGCCACTATACCAAGTGTGGGGGCGTCGAGCGAGGTAATCTTGCAGTACAACGAGGATACCAAGTATACTCGAGAGGGTGTGGGTGGCTAGATAATCATGTCGAACCTGTGGGCTTGGGAAGAAAAGAGTGAAGCAGGGATGACATTGCCCAGAACATTTCCACCTCATTGCTTGCTAAGGACCTTCTAAAATTAAGATTCAAAGCTCTAACAGAGCCGAAGGAATTTAAAAGTTTGTCATGAGCCAAAAGAAAGAGGTTGGGGAATTGCTCCCTTAGGGGCTAGTGCCCTAACCAAAGGACAGGCATAAGAGAACGTCAATACCTTCCTGAGGTTGGAAGCATATGTTTTCTATAAAGAGGCTGTAGTTTTGAAGTAGAGATCTCCAAGTGCTAGAGGGCCTGTGCTACTCCTACAATTAGGGAGCCAGGTGTGGGATCCACAACGGTAGTTGTGCCAGATAACGTCTTTCCGATGGTGCTTCTCTTGTATGGCATATCGCAACCACAAATTACCTAAGAGTGCTATATTGTTTGATTTGAACGGATGCCTAA